TAACTGAAATCCCCTGTTAAATTCCACTCTTGAAGAGGCTGATTCACTCCTCTGTTTTACATTCAGCAGGAGAACATGTGGGACTACAGTAATTTGCATCAAATGACACTGATTTTCTAATTTTATGACTATCATTTCAATAAATGTAAAAAAATTCTTCAACTGCTAGAAAATGTCATCTGCAAAGTCAGTATGTAAACATTTTCTACAATGTCTGTTTGTTTGAAACATATTGATCATATATATTACCATATATACTTTTTTGATCTACATGAAGATTTTAGTGTGACAAGACCCTTTTATCCTGGAGTTCCTAATCTCATTGCACTAATGGGAGTTTCTAGGCCCAGCGGGGTATGATCCTTATTTTCCCAAATAATTACTGTTGTCTGATGTTTTATTGGGAGTGTAGTGATTATAATTTGATAATTTATAATAATATTTTGTATTAGGAGATGATCATTGCTTAATTACGGTATGGGCATAACAAAATATCGAGAAATCATGTTTCTTTTAATTAACCATGTCTTTATGTATTTTGACAATGTAGAACATTACATCGAACATGTTGATGTGAAAAAGTAAAAATGCTATATCACATAATATCATCAAATAATAATTAATTAGTTATAATCCATTTAATCAATCAATTACTACACTGTATACGATACCCCTAAGAGCAGTTAGCACTCATAGAGAGGATAAAATAATTTCTATTTGAGACAGGGTGCAAACAACCCACCCACATGCATCAATATGTTGTGTTTTGATACACAGTTAACCCCTTTAAAGAAATAATGCATTCCATCAGGGGTTTAAAAGATATCAAATATGGGAAAATAACAGGAAAATATTGTTTTCTGCTTTATTATTATTATTATTATTATTAAAATATTTTATTATAGTGTCACTAGTGTTAAAAGTATACATACAATGTCAAATACAAAGTAAACTAAAACACTACCAGCCGGTGTCGGCTTATGAGACACTTAGGTCCTTCTACAATCTGGAACAATGTCCATTAAATAATAAATAAATATACTATTCTATAATATACAATTATTGCACTGTTCAAATATAATATCAGCATGTTTTTAGAGTAGCATTTTAAGTTGACTAGAATAAATATCTGTTGAGCAGTTGTTTTGATCATTTCAGACCCTCTCAATATTGAATTTCCTTTTTTGCCACATTTTAAATAGAGTTAAAGCCAATAAATTTTGGATGTTTTTGTCATGCATAAGACTGATCAGTGTACCCAGGCCATCATTTGAGTTAATGTTTATATGGGGGGCTGTTACTTTAACATTGTCATAAAACTCTTTCCTTATGTCCTTATAATGTTCACATTGAGTCAAAAAGTGTATCTCATCCTCAATACAATCATTATCACAGAGAATACATTTTCGTTCTTGCAGCGGTGTATTGTTCCATCTACCTGTCTCTATATTTAAGTGGAGACTTCCTGTTCGGAACTGAGCAAGTATTCTCCTGTGTTGTCTGGGCATTCTGTTTTTTAAGTACTGTTCAGTCACCACACCATATTTAAATTGACGGAATGTCCTAAGTTTGTTTCCATTTGCTTCATTATTTTTGTCATCCCATATGTTGGCTAGGAATGTGTCATTTTGATTCAGGTAATGTTTCAGTGTATTAAGAGCAAGTTTGGTTGAGATGTTTGTGCCATTTGTTATTGGGACTCCTCCTTTAACTAATAACTGCTGTGTTTTATAGTCCCAGCTAGACTTTCTCTTTGTAGACCATAAATGTATTTTGTGATTTGTCCTGGTTCTATCCATATTGTGAAGCCTCAAGTAAAGTCTAGCACACTCAATATGTTGCTTATCGAGGAGAGATGACCAACCTAGGTCTCCCCTTACTGCCTCATTGCTAGTTTTTCGGCTCACCCCCAGGAACATCTTGCCAGCTCGGTTTTGGATGTTGTTCAGGGGTCTACGTTCATGCAGACCCACAATAGAACAGCCGTAATTAATTATGGGCTGGACTAAGTTATCATACAGTTTGTTAAATACATCGTAGTCCATACCTCCAATCGCCGTGGCTTTACTGGTAATTACCCCGAGAGCTCTGCTGGCTGATTTAGCTAGTTCCTTGACAGTTATGTTGGTGTCTACATTTTCATGCAGCCATATTCCCAAGTACTTGTACCTTTCAGCATACTCAATGTTCATAGCCCCACAATGGAATACTACATTTGATCTTGGGCAAGCCTGTGGGCGATAATGTACCACTTTAGTTTTACTCTGGTTCATACTAATGCGCCATTTGTAGCACCATTCATTAGCCACATTGAGCATACGTTGTAGATTAGTTGGGGAATCTGCAATCAAGACAATGTCATCTGCATACAAGAGGACAGATACATCCATGCCCTCAATTTTGATACCACAGTTTAGATTTTTCACATCAGTTGCCAAGTCATTGATATAGATGGCGAACAGGGTCGGAGACAAAACGCAACCCTCCTTACATCCTTTCTCTATGCTGAACATTGGTGTTAAATGGCTGTTAATTCTAACTGAAGAAGATACATCTTGATAAAGGGAACTAATAGCAGAAAATATCTTGCCTTTTATGCCAATTTTGTTAAGTTTGTACCACAGACAGTCCCTGTTTACGCTACAGAACGCTTTGGTCATGTCGATATAACATGTAAATGTACTTTGTTTTCCTAGCTTTCTATTGTTAATTATTGAATACAGAGAGTGCACTTGGTCAAGACATCCACGCTCAGGTCGGAACCCATTCTGTTCATCCACCAGGAGCTTATTCAATTCAAGATATTTATTTAAAAGAAATTTATTATTCCTTTTTATTGGGTTAACTATGTCTCAAAACGCAACATATCGATGCAACAAAAATTGAAAAAAGCAGGGGTAAAAGGGCTTGAAAATCAGGACAACATTTCCGAAAAAACATGTGGGTGGATTGTTTGCACCTTCGCTGTCTCAAAGTCCAAACTATTTTATCATCTCTAAGAGTTCTTTTCCCGTAGGTAATGCAATGGCCTATCATATGCACCTGCTTAAATCCTCAGGAAACAGACAAAATCTAACATATGACTGTCTGAAATATGTTGCGATACTTTCCGTGATCCTTTGAGACCTGATATTTCTCAATTTTTCAAACACTGCACTTGTTAAAATTCTTAAACTTCCTTAAAATTCATCTTCGGTATGTTTAACTTCTTAGTTTCATACTCTAAAAATATATGTTTCATCATAGAGGTATGGATGATTTTGGACTTGTTAAAATCGTTAACATCCTTAAAACCCATCTAAATTATGTTCTACAACATAACCTTTAGTTAGACAGTACATCTTTAGTTCCACACTACAAAACCATAAATATTACCAAAGAGGGATGGATTTAGAAACTATAGGGGTCAGACATGGTTATACCTGGAATTCGTAAATTTGAAACCTTATATTTACAACTTTTCAAATTTTGGAGTTGTTTAAAACCTTTAACTTCCTTAAAACCCATCTAAACTATGTTTTACATCTTAGTTCCACACTATTAAACCATAAATATCATCATAGAGGGATGGATCTAGAACCTATAGGGGTCAGCCATGGTTATACCTGGAATTCGTAAATTTGAAACCTTATATTTACAATTTTTCAAATTTTGGACTTGTTTAAAACCTTTAACTTCCTTAAAACCCATCTAAATTATGTTTTACATCTTAGTTCCACACTATAAAACCATAAATATCATCATAGAGGGATGGATCTAGAAACTATAGGGGTCAGCCATGGCTATACCTGGAATTCGTAAATTTGAAACCTTATATTTACAATTTTTCAAATTTTGGACTTGTTTAAAACCTTTAACTTCCTTAAAACCCATCTAAATTATGTTTTACATCTTAGTTCCACACTTTAAAACCATAAATATCATCATAGAGGGATGGATCTAGAAACTATAGGGGTCAGCCATGGCTATACCTGGAATTCGTAAATTTGAAACCTTATATTTACAATTTTTCAAATTTTGGACTTGTTTAAAACCTTTAACTTCCTTAAAACCCATCTAAATTATGTTTTACATCTTAGTTTCACACTATAAAACCATAAATATCATTATAGAGGGATGGATCTAGAAATTATAAGGGTCAGCTATAGTCATACACAAAATCCAGCTGTCAAAAATGTCAAAATTTTCAAAAAATCAACAATTTTTTTCTCAGCTCCTACCTCTTCCATGGATTTGCATCTTTCAGGATTACTAACCATGCTATTGGGCATTTCACATGAATTTTTCCAACCTCTTACAGTGTCTAATTGAAAAGTTGGAATCAAAATAGTGATAAAATGAGTCACGAATTTGCCCCCTGGGGTACATACTTTGTACTAATTTTCAAATTCTTTAGGAGTTATCAGCATCAATTATACTGCAAGTGATTTATATATATAATATCTATGTATGTCACTTACAAACATCAAAATATCTAAGGTTATTTAGTGTGAACAATTTTTTCCCCAGGGTGGGGTGTTTTTTGGGGGTGGGGGGCTAACTCCTCAAAAAAAAGAACTTCCTACCACTCTGTGAAGCTATCACCTAGGTGGAAGTTTCATCCAAGACTCTCCCCTAACTAAAAATGCTGCCAAACCAACTATACGCCATTTATTGAGAATTTTCCTCCCCGCCCCTTGAGTATAAATGTTTCTATTTTTACATATTCTGCTTCAATGTGGTCCTTTGATTGCTTATTTTTTAGATTCAAAGTAGTTCCAAACATTTAAAATTTTACTGTAGATCAAATCATTGACTTTCTAGAGAATGAATTAAAACTGCAAATTCGATTTTGACTCAGTGGGAATTTACCCCAGATCCCTTCCAAAAGTTAGTAAACATTCAATTCATCAAGTGTTCAGTCAACAACATTACAGTGTCTAGGATAAAGAAGAATTAACAGCATATTAACTTTGTTGTGAACTTCCTGTAGAATTTCAAACATCACTATTTTGGTTCCAGCAACAGCCACAGATTATCTTACTGAAGGAAGGGACAGATAGCTCCCAGGGCAAACCTCAGCTAATTAGTAACATCAATGCCTGCCAAGCAATTGTAGATGCTGTCCGCACAACCCTTGGCCCTCGGGGCATGGACAAACTTATTGTCGATGCAGGAGGTAATTATAACTAGACATGTAAATTGAACAAGTTCAATTTAAGACTCCAGATTTCAAACTTTTTTTAAGCTGAGTTATCCAGAACTTGTAAGCTGAGTCATTCAGAATAAGCTGAGTCAGCTAGAATAAAGACATTTAGACAACTTTTAAGAAGGCTATCTTCGACTCTATTGGCTTAACATGGGGATATCATCATACCGACTTTTCGAGACTTCAAACCGCTATAACTATCTAACCAGAAGTTAGATCGAAATTTGGTTTAAAGATTCTGATTCCTGAGAAAATTCTGCCCTTAATTCATAACTCATACGTTAAATTTGGAGAATTTTTTATTTTGACCTACATTTCGGACACTATATCTCAAAAGTAGGCCAAAAAACTTTCTGACGGCAAAAGCTAACACTATAAGCACACTCTTTGCTACCTGTATACAAAATTTTGAAGCAAATCCTTAAAGTGTAATGTCAGAATCGCAAAAATAAGGAAAAACTATGAATTTGACCTAGATTTTGACCTAGGCATTTTTGCGTCCAAATTTTAAAGCTAGATAGCCTTCGAGGTCCCCTCCATTTATAGGCTTTCAGAATATTAAGCTGTACTCAGTCTATATCTGGTATTTTACACTTCAAAAAAATCCTTTTTCTCATTGACATAACATGGGGCACCAAATTTAGCGATTTTTGAGCTTTCAAAACGCCATAACTTTCGAACTGGAAGTCGGATCGAAATTTGGTTTGCAGATTCGGATTCCTGACAAAATTCTACCCCTAATTCATAACTCATACGTTAAATTTGGATTTTTTTTATTTTGACCTACTTTTTGGACACGCCATAACTTCCGAACCGGAAGTCGGATCGAAATTTGGTTTGCAGATTCGGATTCCTGAGAAAATTCTTCCCTTAATTCATAACTCATACTTTGAATCTGGAGAACTTTTTATTTTGACCTACTTTTCGGACACCATATCTCAAAAGTGGGTCAAAATACTTTCTGACGGCAAAAGGCTAGCACTATTAACACACTCTTTGCTACCTCTATACAAAATTATGAAGTAAATTATTAAAGTGTAGTGTCAGAATCGTAAAAATAAGGAAAAACTATGAATTTGACCTAGATTTTGACCTAGGCATTTTGGTGTCCAAATTTTGAAGCTATGTAGCTTTTGAGGTCACCTTCTTTTATAAGCATTCATTATGTTAAGCTGTACTCAGTCTATATCTTGTATTTTACACTTCGAAAAAGTCTTTTTTCCCATTGACTTAACATAGGCACCAAATTTAGCGATTTTTGAGCTTTCAAAACGCCATAACTTCCGAACCGGAAGTCCGATCCAAATTTGGTTTGCAGATTCGGATTCCTGAGATCATTCTACACTTATTTCATAACTCACATGTTGAATTTGGAGAGTTTTTTGTTCTGACCTACTTTTCGGACGCAATATCTCAAAATCAGTAAGAGTAATCAAAAAACGATTTGCCTTACGGAATTAGCGTTTTTTCCAAGGAACATGATGAAAAAAACCCGGAGCAAAAATATTGAAAGACGACTGAGAAAAGTGGTGAATTAGTGAAAATCCAAGATTTGACCTAGTTCTTGACCTATGACCTAGATAGAAATTTGACCTAATTTCCCAGAAAGCCGGATACAGTCCTTACTTAACCATGTAAGTTGGATTAAGTAAGCTGTTATAGTTGACGAGAAATTTGGTGAGGAGGAAGAATAATAATAACTAGATTTGTGAAATTGAACAAGTTCAATTTAAGACTCCAGATTTATTTGACCTAGATAGATCAGTAAAGAGCTGAGTAAGTAACTGAGTAATTAGCTGAGTAAGTACCTTAGTAGTAGTTGAGTAAGTAGCTGAGTAAGTAACTGAGTAAAAAGCTGAGTAGGTAGCTGAGTAAGTAGCTGAGTAAGTACCTGAGTTAGTAGCTGAGTAAGTTGCTAAGTAAGTAATAACTAATTAAGTAATTGAGTAAGTAGTCAAATAAGTAGCTGAGTAGGTAGAGAGGTAAAGTAGGGTATGCAGGAATTTTTGAAAGTATATTTGATCAATCTGCATCGTGAATACTGGCAAGTGCGAATTTCAAACTTCAAAATGGCGTAGAATCTTTACCGGGGGTCGGATTGCAATTTTAATTTCAGATCCGGATTCCTGAGGAAATACTACTCCTAATTCATAACTCATACGTTAAATTTGGAGAACTTTTTATTTTGACCCACATTTCGATCACCATATCTCAAAAGTGGGTCAAAAAACCTATTGACGGCAAAAAGTTAACGGTATTAGCACACTCTTTGCTACATGTATACACAATTTCGAAGAATATCATTAAAGTGTAGTGTCCGAATTGCAAAAATAAGAAAAAACTATGAATTTGACCTAGATTTTGAGCTAGGTATTTTGGTGTCCAAATTTTGAAGGAAAGTAGATTTTGAGGTCCCCTTCTTCTATGGGCTTTCATTATGTTTAGCTGTACTCATTCTATATCTTGTATTTTTACACTTCAAAAAATTATTCGGTCCCATTGATTTAACATGGGGCACCAAATTTAGCGATTTTTGAGATTTCAAAACGCCATAACTGCAGAACAAGAAGTCGGATCGAAATTTGGTTTGCAGATTCGGATTCCTGAGAAAATTCTACCCTTAATTCATAACTCATACGTTAAATTTGGAAAACTTTTTATTTTGACCTACTTTTCCGACACCATATCTCAAAAGTGGGTCAAAATACTTTCTGACGGCAAAAAGCTAACACTATTAGCATACTCTTCGCTACCTGTATACAAAATTTTAAAGCAAATCATTTAAATATAGTGTCAGAATCGCAAAAATAAGGAAAAACTATGAATTTGACCTAGATTTTGACCTAGGGATTTTGGTGTCCAAATTTTAAGCTAAGTAGCGTTTGAGGTCCCCTTCTTTCATGGGCTTTCATTATATTAAGCTGTACTCAGTCTATATCTCGTATTTTACACTTCAAAAAAATCTTCTTTCCCATTGACATAACATGGGGCAGCAAATTTAGCGTTTTTGAGCTTTCAAAACGCCATAACTTCTGAACAAGAAGTCGAATCGAAATTTGGTTTGCAGATTCGGATTCCTGATAAAATTCTACCCCTAATTCATAACTCATGCGTTAAATTTGGAAACCTTTTATTTTGACCTACGTTTTGGACACGCCATAACTTCCGAACCGGAAGTCGGATCGAAATTTGGTTTGCAGTTTCGGATTCCTGAGATCATTCTACACTTATTTCATAACTCATACGTTAAATTTGAAGAATTTTTTATTTTGACCTACTTTTGGGACACCATATCTCAAAAGTGGGTCAAAATACTTTCTGACGGCAAAAGGCTTACACTATTAGCATACTCTTGGCTACATGTCTACACAATTTCGAAGAATATAATTAAAGTGTAGTGTCAGAATCGCAAAAATAAGGAAAAACTTTGAATTTGACCTAGATTTTGACCTAGGCATTTTTGTGTCCACATTTTTAAGCTAGATGGTTTTTGAGGTCCCCTTCTTTTAAAAGCTTCCATTATTTTTAGCTGAACTCGTCTATATTTCGTATTTTTCACTTCAAAAAAATCTTTTTTTCCCATTGACTTAACATGGGCACCAAATTTAGCGATTTTTGAGCTTTCAAAACGCCATAACTTCCATACCAGAAGTCGGATCGAAATTTGGTTTGCAGATTCGGATTCCTGAGATCATTCTACGCTTATTTAATAACTCACATGTTGAATTTGGAGAACTTTTTGTTCTGACCTACTTTCCGGACGCCATATCTCAAAATCGGTACGAGTAATCAAAAATCTGATGGCATATCTTTGAAAGAGCTGTTTTCTAAGCTACACGATGAAAAAAAGACAAAGTTGTTTCAATAAATAACGACGAAGATAATTGAAAGAATGTTGAAAATGCTAGATTTGACCTAGTTCTTGACCTTTGACCCAGATAAAAATTTGACCTAATTTCCCATCAGCCCAGATACATTCCCTAGTTGGTCATGTAAGCAGCTTAAAGTAAGCTCTTCTAGTTGTCGAGAAATCTGGGAAGGAGGAAGAAGAATAATAACTAGACATGTAAATTGAACAAGTTCAATTCAAGACTCCAGATTTAAAACTTTTTTTAAGCTGAGTCATCCAAAATACTGTAAGCTGAAAAATTCAGAATAAGCTGAGTCATCTAGAATACAGACATTTAGACAACTCTTAAGTAGCTTATCTTCGTCTACATTGGCTTAACATGGGGATATCATAATATCGACTTTTCGAGACTTCAAACAGCTATGACTATCTAACCAGAATTTGGGTCGAAATTTGGTTTGCAGATTCAAATTTCTGAGAAAATTCTACGTTTGTGTCATAACTCATACATTAAATTTTGAGAACTTTTTATGTTGACCTACTTTCCGGACGCCATTCCTCAAAATCGGTAAGAGTAATCAAAAAAGACAGTTACAATAATGAAAGGACTGTCTTTAAGCTACATGATGAAAAAAGAGAAAGGAATAACGACGAATAGTGACAAAGATAATTGACATAACATGGGATATCAAAATACCAATTTTTTAATTTTTCAAAACGCCATTACTTCCAAACCGGGTGTCGGATTGAAATTTGATTTGCAGATTTGGATTCCTGAGAAAATTCTACCCTTAATTCATAACTCATACGTTAAATTTGGAGAAACTTTCATGTTGACCTACTTTTCGGACACTATATCTCAAAAGTGGGTCAAAATACTTTCTGACGGCAAAAGGCTAACACTATTAGCACACTCTTTGCTACCTGTATACAAAATTTTGAATCAAATAATTAAAGTGTAGTGTCAGAATCGCAAAAATAAGTTAAAACTATAAATTTGACCTAGATTTTGACCTAGGCATTTTGGTGACCAAATTGTGAAGCTAGCTAGCTTTTGAGGTCCCTTTCTTTTATAGGCTTTCATTATGTGAAGCTGTACTCAGTCTTTATCTCGTATTTTACACTTCAAAAAAATCTTTTTTCCCATTGCCATAACATGGGGCACCAAATTTAGCGATTTTTGAGCTTTCAAAACAACATAACTTCCAAACCAAAAGTCGGATTGAAATTTGGTTTGCAGATTCAGATTCCTGAGAAAATTCTACCCTTAATTCATAACTCATACGTTAAATTTGGAGAACTTTTTAGTTTGACCTACTTTTCGGACACCATATCTCAAAAGTGGGTCAAAATACTTTCTGACGGCAAAAGGCTAACACTATTAGCACACTCTTGGCTACATGTATACAAAATTTGGAAGAATATAATTAATCTGTAGTGTCAGAATCGCAAAAATAAGGAAAAACTTTGAATTTGACCTAGATTTTGACCTAGGCATTTTGGTGTCCAAATTTTTATGAAAAGAAGGTCTTGTGGTCCCTTTCTTTTATGGGCTTCCATTATGTTTAGCTGTGCTTAGTCTATATCTCGTATTTTACACTTCAAAAAAATATTTTTTCCCATTGAATTAACATGGGGCACCAAATTTAGCGATTTTTGAATTTTCAAAACGCCATAACTTCTGAACCGGAAGTCAGATCGAAATTTGGTTTTCAGATTCGGAATCCTGAGAAAATTTCCTATAAGACTGATATGCTGGACATTGGATTCGGAGAAAAAATTTTTGGACCTCGTTTTCGGACACTGATATCTCGAAATCGGTTTGAGATACCAAAAAACTAAATCGACCCTAGGTTTTCTACTTTTTTATGAGGAACACAATGAAAAAAACCAGGATCAAAAATATTGAAGGACGACCGAGTTAATGGGAAAAAGTGACAAAGTACTGGATTTGACCTAGTTCTTGACCTTTGACCTAGATAAAAATTTGACCTAATTTCCCAGAAAGCCGGATACAGTCTTAAGTTAACCATGTAAGTTAGATTAAGTAAGCTGTTATAGTTGACGAGAAATTTGGTAAGGAGGAAGAAAAAAGAATAATAATAATAAGAAAACAGGCAAAAACAATAGACTCCAGATTTTCAATCTGGAGTCTAATAATAAAGAAAACTGGCAAAAGCAATAGACTCCAGATTTTCATCTGGAGTCTAATAATAATAAAGAAAACAGGCAAAAACAATAGACTCCAGATTTTCAATCTGGAGTCTAATAAAATAATCAGCCAATGTTTGTTGTCATAAGGAGGCATGAGTTTTCTTGATACCCATGGTCAGGGAAAAAAGTAACATTTCATTTATACCAGCTAAATTCTTTAACTTTTATTGGTGTTCTCTAAAATGTGATCACTTTGTAATTTGTAGCTGGATACATATTGCAATATTTTTCTTTGGAGTAATGCAGTGTTTATTAGATTTTTGTGTTGGATGAACTTCATAAATATGAAAGATGATACTCCTGTGTGGCTCATTTGTTGTCTATTATCACATCTTGTAGGCAAGGCAACAATCTCCAATGATGGTGCTACCATTATGAAACTATTAGACATTGTCCACCCTGCTGCTAAGACTCTTGTCGATATCGCAAAGTCACAAGATGCTGAGGTAAGATAATACTTTAATCTTGTACCTTGTGTTCCCACTACACATCAAGGGAAAACCTATTGAGTTACCTCTTCAGTCTTCAACCTTTTTTACACCTGCTTTACATCTTACATCTTATATATATATATATTTTTTGTTAAGTTATTCATTTGTACAAAGAATACAATACAACAATACAGTGTAAGTGGCTGTGCTTTTAGCATTACTAGCCACGTTGCCTCTGAACATCTTATATTTCAATAGTTTGTGCTGAGGGAAATCTTGAATTCCTGTATGGAGACCCTTTCTTAATGTGAGTCCAAATCATAAGTGTCCAGAGTACTTGTTGTATCCTGCATACCTGAGACAATTTATACAAGGGTCATTCAAAAGATAACTAATACAATTGCTTTCATTTTCATGGTTATTAATTAATATTATAACTTTAAACGCACTCTGAATTGTTACAACATGATTCCTTGGTATGATAAACATTAAAATGAGAGTATTAATATTTATTGGACATCCCTTGAAATTAGCTCCACAATAAGTCAACTGCATACATATATCTATCATGTATGTGGTGTTACAATTGTGGTAGAGTAACCACTGAGGCCCTTGTTATTTGTCTGACTGTCTTAGTCAGATTTTAACTTTTAGGCTTTTGTTGGGTGTCTGCAACTATATTCACTTGGGATCTATGCCCTCTGTGCCTTAGGAGCAGTTATACATGTGTATTGGTGATTCAGAAGTTTCATTATTAGCGTAATTTTGACTGCTGTTTTCATTAGCTTTGCCAGTTTTCTAAAACTTAGTCATGATTTTCACTTATTTTGCCTGTTTACATTCGCTTTGCCAGTTGTCATAAATTCAAATGAAATCCCTGTCCCATAGTTTTGAACAGATTGAAGAATGCAATGAAGATTCAAGAAAATCACCTCCATAATTAGTATCATTACTGAGGCAGAATTTAGAGGAATTTGAAATAACTTGGAATTGTATTCTTTAGGTGGGAGACGGTACCACAAGTGTTGTGTTGCTAGCTGGTGAATTTCTGAAACTATGCAAGCCATTCATAGAAGAAGGGGTGCATCCTCAGATTATCGTCAGGGCATTCAGGAAAGCAACATACCTAACTGTGCAGAAAATCAACGAAATCTCAGTGAAGATCAAGAAAGATGATCCAAAGTAGGTTACCATTTTTGCACTTGACATTTCACTTGCTTAGTTACCGTAATCACTTGATAATCACACCTAGCAAAAAATGAAAACACAATTAGATATCATTGATTTATACTTTTCAATTTCTAGATTATTTTGAAACCACTTTGGCAGTTATTAGAGCATTCATGTTTGTATGGTTGATTACGGTAACTGATTCTGATATGGATAACATTGTTTGTATATTGTTTAGTCTTTATATTTTAATGGTGCATATGTATTTATTTTGAGTGCTATTGCCTGTTGAAATTAATTATTGCATCTTGTAAAATATGTTAAACATTTTATTTTAGTGTTAGTTGTTCTTGATCCTAGCTTTTAATTTGGTTTCAAATAAAATTCAATTAAAACAATTGCATGTTCTTTTTACAGTTCCAAAAGGTATGAATGTATTATTCATCCAGATACATTTTATTCATGAACTGTAAATAATTCATCAGCTTGCTTAAAATATAAATAAATGTATTACAAAGCTGGGCACATGAGCCTACTGTCAATTTATGTCTTTGGCTCACTGCATTATAGATAACACTGTGTTCTCCATTAAGAGAATGTGTATATGTTAAGCGTCTCCATTATCCATGTGAAGGTTCTCAATACCCATGTGACATCATAATGAAAAATATGTTATGTCTTGCTTCTGTCTATGCACATGGTATTTCATGTCAAAACATTTATTGACATCTAAGCACAATATCACGTGGCTATGTATTGAAGAGGAGTTTATTCATAAATATCATATATCTTGACTTCAGTCACTACCTTTTTGGTCAGATAAACAAAACTCTTAGAGAATCCCCTTTCTAAATATATGACAAACATCAAGTCTTACCCATAAATTGACTCTCAAAATTTCGACTCACATAGTTGGTAAATTATCAGTTTTTCTCCAAATACTGATGTAGATTTCCATAGCCATGTATTGTATCTGTTGAATTTATATTTATGTTGTACTGCATTAGCATAGGCATTGTAAAATATGTTAGGCCTTTCAAGCATGCATGTGATAGGCTTGCTTTTCAACTGTATATATGTGTAAGAAAGAATATGCAGTAATAGTATTTATTTTATTGAAGGGAAAAGACATCTGACCAAATAAGGTAATATGTACTCAATATCTGTTGTAACAGTAAATTGGTCAGTCTTAGATAAGTGAATGATCAATTACAGAATTACTGGGGTGTATTGCATACAAAGTTGCTTTCAATCCTGTACAATGTTGGCATTTACCATTTTGGGTGTGTCATGGCAACCTTTATGTGGTGTCTCATATGATATCCATGTGGTGTCTCACCATCAAGGGCTCTTGGCACTCCTGACTTGCTATTGGTCTTAGGACCTTGGTCCACTTTAACATATCAACTGATGTTGCCCAAGTTGTGTATACTGTAGATTGAGCTATGTCGACGTTTAATTAATTTTGGCAAAATATTTCTTACAAAATCGGAAAATGTTACCTCTAAATTGGCTTAGGATGATCAATCCCTAGTCTTTATGGAAAAATTAAAAAACTAAAGAAATTGGGATCACAGCAGCATCTTTAGGTTCAAAATGTGCAGGAATATCTCGAAAGAAAAAGAAATAGCAAAAGTGGTCACAATCAACAGTGGTCAGCAAGTAGTTTTGTAACCAGTATATTGGCATTGTAGCTCCAAATATGCCTTAAGTATGTAGTACCAAATTAACTCAATCTACAGTCTACTGTTATTTAAAAGTATATTATAGTATCGAGCATAACTTTGCATGGTAGTGTACAACAAAATTATATATCTGTCATTATCCATCATGTGTCCAACCTTTCACTATTTGTCTTCTACATACATATGCTTGTATGAGTAGAGCAATTCTAAAATCTTGATTTGGAGTTTGGACATACTGTATATCATGTATAAGTTGTTATTTGTAATTCTCATCTAAATTAAGTATTTTAAATTCACAACGATACTTTGCATAATGCAAAGTATTAAAGGTACACCATATCATGCATGATCTGTACTAAGTGTACTTATATGAATTAATGTCAGTCTGTTAACGTAAAACAAAAGTCTACAAGCAGAAAGTGAAGTGTTTGGTACTTTAATGATTTGAACATACATAACCTGTAGTTAGCATCTCAAAGAGATATTTGCACTCTAAGGCTGTGTTCCATAAAACCTTTGTATTAATTATATCCTTTGTGTTACAGAGAACAAAGAGAACTCTTAATGAAATGTGCGTCAACTGCCTTGAGCTCCAAGTTGGTGTCCCAACAGAAAGATTTCTTCTCTAAGATGGTGGTAGATGCTGTCATGATCTTGGATGAACTCCTCCCACTTAACATGATTGGCATGAAGAAAGTTACAGGAGGAGCTTTGGAGGTATGTAGCTTGTTGAATGACTCCTCCCACTTAAAACTTGATTGACAGGAATGATCAAATGTCTAATCTCCCCATTTAATTGGAATGAATTCAATTAAGATTTTCAATCAAAAGAGTCTAGAACAGGTAGTCCCGAGTCATAAGCCTGTAAGCAAGTATTGACAATGCTTTAGGAATTATAATGAAAAAAATGATCATGAAATGATTGGCCTGAAGAAATATCCCAATGATCTGTAATGTTTGTTTCTTTGCAGGATTCCCAACTGATTGCTGGTGTTGCATTCAAGAAGACCTTCAGTTATGCTGGCTTTGAGATGCAGCCAAAGTCATACAAGAACCCAAAGATAGCATTGCTTAACATTGAACTGGAGCTGAAGGCAGAGAAGGAAAATGCTGAAATTAGAGTGGATAATGTTGATGTGAGGATTCAAGCTTATATTATAAACACTGCTTTAGTATTACCTCTTCCAATGAGTGATTTGGTGAAAAAAAACAGTATTAGCCTTGGGTATCAAAAAATTACTGTATAAGTGGTTAATTTGCCCAGACATTAAATTTTCCGATTAATGCATAGTGTCAGAAAATTAAATGTTGGAAAGATAACATCTTAAAATCAATTTACATTGTGAATTGAAGCCGTCGTCACGAACTCACATGTCACATAATTCCTCTCAAAGACCAAACATTTAATCCTTTAGCATTTCCCTCGCTTATATCTGTCTTCAAGTGTCAGCCACTGTCTCATTGACATACGTTAGATAATTACTTCCAAAAACTTTATCAGAAACATTTTAATCCTCATGTTACCTATATGTGTCAGTGAAACAAATCTAAAAAAGCTTTTGACAAATTTGAGAATAAACACCAATTGACCACTAATTAAAAATAATATTAGCGACGTACATAGCTTTTTCCCTGGAGACGTTGCCATTTCTTGACAGGTTCTCTACTGAATAAAATCAGGGTAATTAGTTTGTTTGGCAGTTTGAGTTTTGAGCTCAGCGTGACAACCTGACTCTGGGTGGTCAATCACAGCACATAAGCTTACACATGGCGAGATATTTTGAGAATCTTATTCAGTTAATTTCAGACCTCTAATAATAGGTTTGGTGCCTAGGAAAATTAAAATTCGGAAAAACGTTGGTATTGGTTAATCCGCAAATTAACCACTCCGATTAATTACCACTTATACGATATATTAACTGATCTGAATAAACGTTGAGTATGAATGTGAATCAAAACTAGAAAAAGTCCAAACAATATGAACCCACCAATCAAATCCACCTGCATTACTGTACTGTATCATATTTAATCAATCTAAAACAGCCAAAAGCAGCCAAAAAGATATTCTTGCTGACATACAGTATTAACACTGTGTTTATTAATTTTTTAATTTTGTGTTACAGGAGTACCAGTCTATAGTAGATGCAGAGTGGAGCATACTCTATGATAAACTAGAAAAAATCCACAAAAGTGGGGCCAAGTGTGTTCTCTCCAAGCTACCCATTGGTAAGATTTCCCAATACAAAATCTCATTTCCCGAATATGCACAGTTAAACCTGTGTTAGTGGAACATGTTGTGCCTAGAAATATAGGTTGGATATGTATAATTTAATCTAAATAAACCTCATTTTGAGGTTCTAAAGGTGTTCCACTATCTCGCATTAAAGGGTTTAATGTACTGTGAAAATTATTGTAGTTCAATAAGACCGAATAATCAGTAAATAGATATTGACCATGTGATTTGCAGGTGATGTTGCCACGCAGTATTTTGCCGACAGAGACATGTTCTGTGCTGGTCGTGTATCTGATGATGACTTGAAGAGAACCATGAAGGCGTGTGGAGGAGCCATTCAGAGTTCTGTGAGCAGCATGACAGATGACGTCCTTGGAACATGTGAGAATTTCAATGAGCGACAGATTGGTGGAGAGAGGTATGTTTTATGTCATCTGAAATCCATTTAAGAATATATTTGTAGTGATAAGGAACTGAACACCAATTCAGGGTTCATGAAAAATTATAAGAATTCAAAGTTCATATGGTTTACAGGCATTTGTATTCTGATTTCCAAATATTGCCTTTTGATTCCAAGTAGTGATCTAATGTTTGAATTGCTGTAAATGCAAAAAATGATGTCGAGGAGGATCATGCCAATATAAAATAATGTACACATTATGTTTCCAGATATAATATATTCACTGGTTGTCCCCAGGCTTCAACTTGTACCATAATCATGCGTGGTGGCGCTGAACAGTTCATTGAAGAAACTGAGAGATCTCTACATGATGCCATCATGATTGTCAGGAGAGCTATTAAGAATGACGCCATTGTAGCAGGTATGATAGGATCTTTGATGTCAATAAAAAAGTGACGATCGATTGGCCATTCTAGTAAAATGACACCTTATAATTTCACCTTATTTCTCTCACTATCTGACCATATGGGTTAGTTCAATTGCACCCATAATATGCTAGGCCTAATGATTCTTCTTATTTGATATTTGTGTACAAATGCAATATGTCTCAAAATATTAATGTGAGATGGTATATTTACAGGTGGTGGCGCTATTGAAATGGAGCTAAGTAAATACCTTAGGGACTATTCTCGTACTATACCAGGCAAAGAACAACTTCTCATAGGAGCTATGGCCAAAGCTTTAGAAGTAATCCCACGTCAGCTCTGCGATAATGCTGGATTTGATGCCACGAACATTCTCAACAAACTTAGGCAAAAGCATGCCACAGGTGGTCGATGGTTTGGTGTTGATATCACAACTGAAGATATTGCGGACAATTTTGAAACCTTTGTGTGGGAACCAGCTGTAGTAAAGATCAATGCGATCACAGCTGCATCTGAAGCTACCTGTTTGATACTCTCTGTGGATGAGACCGTGAAGAACCCTAAGGCAGGGGGTGAGGGGGGTCCTGGAGGGCCTATGGGTAGAGGTAGGGGAAGGGGACGACCTATGTAAACATGGGCTTCTCTAGGTCAATTTATTTCAATCTATTTAACTGCTTTACAACGTGAACAATGGACACTGTCTCTCATTGAACTTCAATTATTGGATAGGGATGATAATGGCCAAAATTCTGTTCAGTGAGTTTCTGAAGGGCAAGTCCAGTGAACTGTATTCTCAAATACAACATTTTTGTTGCATAATGTCACCTTGCATGTCCAGTATTCTATAAGTATCTCACCAATATTTGCCAAACAACTTGCAGCAATGCAATTACATAATATTACTTTGTATTACTTTAGAATGTATTGGGAACATCTTAATAAAACAATTAAGTCTTTACATCATGACTCATCATTTCACGATTCATGTCTCCTCAACGTTGATTAAAGTGACAAATATAAATTGAGGTTTAAAAAAATCAGAATTTGCACAACATTGTGATGACGTACATTTGTGAGGAGATATTTATCTTCTTGGTTAGTATTGCTATGTATATTGTGATGTTTGAAATGTGTACATTTGTAAAAATAAAAAATCCATAACCATTGAAATCAGTCAATTTTGTGTTTTTTTATTCAGCCAGTTTTCCAAGAATTATTCCCTGAATTGTTATGGTCAACTTCAGAGGCAGACAATTTGCATTTGCTTGAAGTAAACCTTTGGAAAGGTCAACAACTATTCTAGGTTTAAAATCTTCTAAAGATCAAAAATAGTATTGACATTTGGCCCTGTATACCATTGGATATTTGAGCGGTGTTATTTTGTACAAAAAATATTGTCAACTTAGTAGTAATCAAGAACATTTTTTCAAATATTGAAATATCTATATTCTAAATATGTACAATGTATATGATTCAAATGTTTGTTACCAGGTTACAACAAATATCTTCAAGTTAACAAATCTGAACTTTTGTTCTTGAACAGTCTGAATAATTGAAGAATAACAATTTTATCAATCCATACTCACAGGCTGTTATCGAAAGATTTGTCTGCTGTGACGGAGCATGCTATTTTTCATAAAAACAGTAAGAATGCTTCACACTTTATTTTTTAACTCATATGTTTCGTTTACATCAAAGAAAATTACTTACTCCATGCAATGGATATATCATTTGCGGGTAACCTTCACTTCTGTTTGAAGTCCAATAACGCTAGGAGTAAAAGCTATTGAAAATGGCGCCAGAGTATCAAACTCTAAAATGTACAATTTCTTTTTAAACTTTTTAAATGCATGATACAGTGACACAAGAATATTAAAATATGTTTTCAGCATAACTCTGAATGTATTAATGAGATATTAATGCATTGGGTCTTTTTAATTTTTTTATAAAAAATAATACTAATATTTTTTGTCCGCTGTGACGGAGCATTTTTACAGTTTACATTTGCAACTGCTCCGTCACAGCGGACAAAAAAATTAAACATTATTTTTTATAAAAGAATTAAAAAGACCAAATACATCAACATCTCATTTTTACCTTCATAGTAAAGTTGAAACCATGTGTAAATATTATCGTGTCACTATATCGTGCCATTAGAAAGTTAAACAAGAAATGGTACATTTTGAAGTATGATACTCCAGCGCCATTTTCAATAACTTTTCTTCCCAGCGTAATTGGACTTCAAACAGAAGTGAAAGTTACCAGCAAATGATATATCCATTGCATGGAGTAAGTAATTTTCTTTGGTATAGCGAAACATATGAGTTAAAAAATAAATCGTGAAGTATTCTTAGTTTTTTATGAGAAATACCATGCTCCGTCACAGCGGACAAATATTTCGATACCAGCCTGTGATACTATGCACATTACCTAAAAATAGTTCTGACTTTTCAGAATTGATTATTAGGTCATTTGGCAGAAAATTGAATGAATTTGGACTTCCTGAACAGATAAAAAAAAAAAAAAACATTTTTTTGAAGATTGCTGTTCAAGAACATTTTTATTACAATTACAGAACTACTAACTACTTCAAGCACTAAATGAAAATAAAATATGAAATTCAGTAACGTCTAAACGATTTCACACTACACTACACTACACTGCTTAATCCAATTTAATCTTGAAATATTTGGCCACCCTGTAATAAAATTAAGTAGAATTCGACCAATGACATATTTTTATATGCAGTATTTCATGTTAACCAATTCATACTCCGGTATCCTAAAAGTACAAATAATTTCTTCAATAAGAAGGGTAATTTAGAAATAAGTTGAACATGGAATTGCCTTTTACCACAGGTCTACTGAACAAAAGCGCAAATAAGCATTAGTTTGAAACATTTGAGATGGTGCTTGTTGAGGGTTGTTCTTCAGATGTCGTACAACCAGAGGCTTCCTTTAGAGCACCTTTGAAAGCATCATAGCTGAACACATAGATAAAGGGATTGATACAACAGTTGGCGTATGAAGCGATGACGCTTGGCTTGTAGACAGGACTCTCAAAGTTCAGCAATACCCCAAGGCTGTACAATAAGTAATATGTCCCATTAGTTATCCAACAGATGAAGAAACAAACGGAAACCAGAAGTAGAGTACGAATAACATTAATTTTTGCTTTTGACATCTGCGTGTCACGATGTGAAGATGCGTCTGTCATCTTGGCCTGTCTATAGATCTCCATGGCGATCCTAATGTAACAACCAATGAGAATGCCAACAGGGACAAACACCATGACAGAAACTGTCACCACACCACACACATTCCGAAATAACTCACTGGGGTATCCTGCATACAGTTTACATGTTGTACCTTCCAAATAAGTTGTCCAGATATTTATACTTGAAAATGTAAGTCCACACAGCCAAACTAAGCATATCGCCAATGCGGCTTTCTTACGTGTGAACTTCAGCTTGTATGTGAATGGGTGGATCACTGCGAAATAGCGTTCAAACGTCAAAGCCATAAGATTGAATGTTGATACAGTCATATTGCTCCATAATGTGTATTGTGAGAGCCAAAGCATACAATAAAGTTCAGCTGCTAAGCCTGGTTCTGTTATCACTCCATGGTCATCAAAGAGATTGTTGAGAATCACAAACAACGATGCTAACATATCAACCGTACTTTGGTTTATAATCAACATATTTGTGATCTTACGCCTCTGGATTCTAGAATTCATGAAAACAAATACCACGAGGATATTTCCACAAAATCCCAACGATCCTAAACCATAGGATATAGCTTTGTTATAAAAAGCTGAATCATTTGTGCTTGTATTGTTTTGTGTTAGGGGAACAGTTGTACTTTCTCCATCCTGAACAATCAGACTCTCGCTTTGTGCTGTGATAACTTTACCGAAAGTTGTGTTACTATATGTGGAAAAAGCCATTTTTCTCTGCTATTATATCCCGTGGACTGCCAAATCCTATTTGAGCATTGATTGAACACAGTATCGTTTTTGTATCTGCGAATACTATACAGGGTGGCACAAAAAATGTCAATTATTTCAAAGGGATCGATTTGCAGGTGTATGCTGTTTATACATCAATTAATATTGTTAATATTTTGAAAATAAATTATATGCAGTCTACTAAAACAGATTAAACATGAATCTTTCAAATGATGACAAAAAGGTTTTATTGCAGTCAAAGTATGTTGATACATGTACACTTAAAAATTGACTATGACAATATACATGTACAGAGTGGGCCAAAAATGTCTAGTTTTTAATTGGTGATCGTTTTTTTTAGCTATGCACAGATTTCAATAAAACTTTTTCTCGACAAACAGGTATCAATTCTGCAAGTGGCGCCATAAATAAATCTATGATTAGGATTTAAAAATTGATATTTTGATTTACCTATCAATATTATAATATGAGTTTGATTTTGACTTTTACTGAAACAAAACATTTTGTGCTAATACGAAGATTTATATTGGCTCATGCATGATTATTTTTTTTTATTTATTTTTTTATTAATCATCTTTATTGTATTCCATAAAATACAGATATACAAACTTAAACAATTGCCAAAGTCTAATGACATTGACGGCAATTTTGGGTGAACTCCAAAGGAATGTTATTAAGTTTTTACATAATAAGTTATTTTTATGTCATGTTATTGTTAAAATAGATGAAAAAAAGTCAATCAAATATCATCACACTACACTCGTATATCACAAAAATGTGTAAGGTTTTTTTTTTCCCTTGGCCAGAGGGATTTCAGTTGTAACATGTTGTAATCGATTACATGTCCAAGAGATCTAGACCCTGGTGGATATAATATGCTACTATGTTCATTAGTTTCTCATTGACATCTATTGGAAATTTATTATCTCCAAAAAGTAAGAACTGGGATTGATCATGCATATTAAGTCCATCATAGTGGGTACGGATCCCTATCGTCTCCAATCCTGCAAGTAGTGTTGTTCTCTGTTCTGTCAGCAGTGGGCATTTCAACAGGAAATGTAAAGTTGTCTGGTTTGTATTGTCACATAAACATTTAGGATTAGCAACCCAAGTTGTGTGCATGGAGGTGAGCTTGCAAGAGAAGTCCGGACCTGAGTCGGTTTAACGGAATTTCTAGGTAGCGAGGCATGGCATTTTTTAGTTTTGACGTTGATAGGGTAGAAGCATGGCTTCCATCGCCTCTTACTATTCTTTTAAATCTTGAAATTGGCTGGCCAATTCTATAATCTGGTGGAAGGTTATTCCAAAGGGCCATGCCTTTAAAAATTGTAGATTTCTTAGCCAAAGCGCTTGTTTGAAGGGGAATCTTATAGTCCCTGTGGCTCCTTAGTGAGCGCACCTGTATATCATTCTCATAGGACCTGACAAGATTACAAATGAAAGGAGGAAAGTTATTATATCTTGCTTTAAAAATAAATATTTTGAGATGTTCCTCTCTTCTAGAGGATAAAGTTTTCCAGTTTATTGATGAGAGAACTTTATTAGTGTTCGAGCCATGGATTGCTCCAGAGACTAGACATGCTGCTCTATAATGTAACCGTTCAAGAGATTGCAATTTGGTATCTGATGCACTATTGTATATGATGTCACAATAATCAAAATGAGGGAGTATGTACGCATTATATAAAGTTTCAAGGTGCTTGCTTGACAAGATCTTGCAGAGTTTCTTCATGGGCCTCATCAGGCTTATTACTTTGTTAATTAAGTGGTCAATGTGAGCGTTGAAGTTTAGGTGCTGGTCAAGAGTAAGTCCGAGGTGTTTATGAGTATTACATCTAGGGACTATTTCCCCGTTCATTTTCAGAGGAGGAGGTTCAATATTAATGTTTCTATGTCCAGTGAATATCAAATCAGCGCTTTTCTGTGCTTTGAATAACATTTTCCAAGTTGCGGCCCATTGGTCTAAGTGGTCCAAATCACTTTGAATGGGTTCATGAATATCGAGAAATATTTCATTTACATCAAAAGGATTATGGAGTGATGTGTCATCCGCGAATATGAAAGTCTTTGAAACAAGACCATCCGGTAAGTCATTGATATATATCAAAAATAGGAGGGGTCCCAACACTGAACCCTGAGGAACTCCTGCGTTAATTTTATAATTCTTGATCTGAGGGTTGTTATTATGTATTTGTGTATCTGATTCTTGAGCATCTGTATGTTGAACAGAGGACCATTCTGATAAGTTATTATTGACCTTAACTCTGATACGCCTATCACTTAAGTATGATTTAATGAGATTAATAAAATTGTTGTTACAACCATAGCCTTTTAATTTAGTTATCAATAAGTTGTGCGGGACAACGTCAAAAGCTGAACTCAGGTCCAAAAAGATTGAGCGTATATGCTCTTTATTATCAATATGTTGATGAAGATCATGTACAATATTTATTAGTTGATTTGTTGTTCCATGTTTAGGTAAGAACCCACTTTGGAGTTTATACAAGAGATTGTGCTCGAGAAGATGAGAAAGCAAATGTCTATGAATAATGCGTTCGAAAACTTTAGACAAAGTACTTAGGAGAGTTACAGGTCTATAATTGGAGGCAATGGTTGAGTCACCTTTTTTGTAAATTGGAATAACTATTCCCTCCTTCCAGATATCTGGAAAAATATTCTCGTCAAGTATTCTATTAAATAGGTTGCTTACTGGTAATGAAAAAGAGCTGGCACACATTTTTAACATCTTGTTTGAGATTTCATCAGGACCAGGAGATTTATGTACATCTAACTCGTTAAGTAGTTCAAAGACCTCTTGTTGTGAAGTTCTGAAGTTTTGGAGTATTTGATTGGTTCTGCTTGGAAAAATAGGTGTAAGATTTGCATTATTTTCAATCAGATTTTTCTGTACAAAGTATTTCATGAGCATATTAGATTTGTCCAAACTGGAGCATGCAGGAACATCATTATTAGGCAGGTATAAAACTGGAATGGAAGAAATACTGTTTTTACCTAACAAGTCTTTGATGAGTGTCCAATAATTAATTGAATTTTTATCACAATTTTCAATTTTAAAAGTAACATTAGATAAGTAGTCACTTTTAGCTGTTTCTATTAATTCTTTGACTTTGCGACTTTGGGTTACATACTTTTCTTTATATGTTGCATTGTCAGTGGATTTGAATTTGTGATGAAGCCTATTTCTTTTATAAATCTCATTTTTAATGGAACTATTGAACCATGGTTGGTCATCAAATCTTGTTGAACGAATATTATTTTTAACATTTGATTTGATAATAGTAAGAAAAATTTTCACAAGTTTTGTAGTGCCTTCGTTAACAGAATCAGTTCCAATAAAACTCCAGTCAAAATCCCTTATCTTCGAATTTAATAAGTCGGCATTCACATCTTTGAAGTAGAAAATTGTTTTTTTAATTGAAGGTTCGCGTGGAACTTTAACACTAAATTGAGATATAATAGAACAGTGATCAGAATTACCAATTGGAGGATCAATTTTAAAAGAAACGAGATGCTCAGAATCAGATACCAACAAGTCAATGCATGATTTGGAGTTGCCAGTGATTCTAGTAGGCTCATTAACAAGTTGCGATAGACCAAGATCAGTGAGCAGTTTTTTCAGCATGATTATTCAGCCTTTAATGTATACATACTGTACACATTTTGACGGATTGTTTTATCTTCATGAATACGATTTCAATAAACCAGAATTAAAGAAGATCCCTAATTTCTTAAAATTAAACTAATATCAGTAACCACCTCTGTAAATAAGGACCAATCTTACTAATGGAACATAATTATCATCTAAACAAAAGCACATTAGTGAACTTACCAAATTACTTTCCAGTTATAAATAATTTAAAAAAACACAATACCATTCTCTTTTATAGCATCAATAAACCTTATATAAACCCATATTCCTGGCCACTCGCAATGCAACATGGCCAGGAACGAGGATTTTGAAAATCATCCCTCCTTCATGATTGTAAATGTGACATTGCATATCATTTTTTAAGGGTTGTTAAAAGCTATTGAACTACAGTTATAAATTAACAATGAAACTTCCGAAACAAAGTCATCAGTCAAGTGAGGACCATTATGCCGTGTGGATGCCATGACAACAATGAAAACATTAACTTGTTAAATTCAACTAAAAAACAGCAACTCCGCAGAATAAGAAATCCCAATGAACAAATTCATGAATCATTTTAGATTCACAATTAAATTCGAACCTGAAATTGTCACAACATAATGATGTAAAAACTGTTGATTTGCTATTCACCAACACATATCTTTCCATCAAACACAAGAAAATTTGACCACTAGTATTTGAGTAATTTTCTGAATGGACTGACGGCTTTACTATATCCCTATCAAACTTTGTTCTATGGGATGATTCTTTAAAAAATGCTACAATTTCTTAAACTTACACTACAATTTCCAAGCAACATTCACAATACAAAAGGTAGAACATCTATCAGTGTCAATGCAGATATGAGTGGTAATTTCTTTAATTCCAGACACCCACCATCTATTAGTTTTAACTTACACTGAATGTCAAGTGATTTAATGGTTGTGGTAATGTAAAATTTCCTCTGATGATAAAATTCAATTTTCTGATAATCATGCTCATGAGATGTGTCCAAAGATGGATGATTACACCATAGTTATATAATAGAGCAAATATTTCATGCAATCTATTTTGATATCACAATGTAATCCTGATAAAATGACATATCAAACATACAGGGTGTTCCATTTGTTCCAGACGACGAATGCCAAACACTAACTGCCGTACACCGTCCACAAAAGGTTGGAGATTATAACAATGTCACCACCAGAAGTGAACATTTCCAATGATAATTGTCAAATACACATGATAATTATATTTTAATAAATTATTTGACCACCTCTTATCATGTAACATTTATATTAAGAAGAGAGCCCTCTATAAACACAATGCTCCAGGACAATCCTCTTAAAATAAATAAAGTTTGACCTCTTGAATACCCAGAGTGACGGATATATCCGTCACAAATGAAATAAGACTGGTGCCCAGAGGGACGAGAAAATCCGTCACAAAATTTTTCACAAAAATTGCTCTCATTTGAACAATTTTCATCCAATTTACACAAAAATTGTTTTAAACGTGTATAAATGATCTCTGCCATCCAATTTTACTAAGCTGAGCATCTAAAGTTGTATAGGTATGTAATAAAATGTCAAATTGTGGCAAAAAATGAAAAATTCTCTGGTTTCATGCCAATTTTAGAGCCTGGGATTCAAGAGGTTAAATAAAAAAAAATATAAGACATTCATTTTGCCATTTACAAGGACCATTTGAAAATTCGAATTACTAAAATACTATCCTCATCCTAGAAATAACAGCTGTCTTTACAATTTATGTACATCAATGTACATCATAAACATTCATTATATACAATTATACACAATAACTTATATACAATAACTCGCTGATATATTATGACATTGGAGAAAATCTGGGGAATAATCTACTTACTGGAGACTTGTATTAATAAAAACATGTCTCATGCCATTTACTAACTGAACCTGGATCAATCCGGTTCAATACTGTACATTATTTCAGTCCTTCTTACACCATTTACATAATGTACATGTACATGTGTTCACTCATGGGCCCGCCTTTGGCTATCATATGATATATGTTTTAGATATTTAGGCTGTATAACTCCTAAGGTCAGTACATCTTTTAGTTCTAAATCAGATAGAGTTCAGTACATTCCATATTTCTTGATCCACTGATCCACACTTTTTGTATTAAGCATAGTCCGCCATTTGTCTTTTAACTGTACATTTCTCCTTAATGGGAATGAGCCGGTTTCTATAATACGACACCAGGATCCAACTCCATATTTCTGCACAGCTTTGTAGAGCTTTTCCTCCTCATTTAAGGTCCATGGGATCCTGCGACCAACTTTCTCACCTGGAACATGGCATATGGGTTACTCTGGTTCATTAATTATAATTTTCTAAAATATTATACGGGCCCAGGCTGATTTAAGCTTTATCTGCATGTTAAAACAAACAAAAAATATATATATATAAATGACAAAAATATGTTTTTGAGTACCTGTGAATGAAAGAACTTACTTTTATATTTGCTAGTACTTGATACATTGCGGTTTCTCAAAAGGGTAGGACTGATTTGCTGTCTCATCCTTGCAAATTTACTCACAGCTAAAATGGAATATTTGGAAATGATTATGCATAACACTAATAAATTACGGTTTTGATAAAAGCAGAAAAAATCAAAGATTCCAAGAATGATTAAAGATCAATGTATCCTGTACTACGTGTTAATTTTTTTCTCTAAAAGAGAGCTTTATGTACAATCTTTGAGCACAAGATAATCAAGCATTTAACATTCAATATACTGAATCCAGCAAGCCAATTAAATAAACATTATACTTTCATAAGTATCAGACATTCAATATTAATAATAAATTCTCATTAAAGCCTATGGCAGCTACTTGTTGGGGTCATTTAGATCTTATGAGCATCAAAGCTGTAGATTTATTTCACCAATTCAGAGCTGATTGTATGTGACTGCCACACTCAAGCTAGCTATCTTGTTTCCATGAAATCATTTCAGAAAGAATTCTAATACTAACGTGTTGCTTCTTCGTCAGATGACCATGTGACCCTTTCTTCTTCAGCTGTATTTACCATTTCTCTAACTGCCATCCTCCGTTTCTTGCGATCTCCGTAACCAGCTGGGAAGAGGGTCCCTTCAGCACTAAGAAAAGATTACACAAAATAGATAAATGAACTCTATGTGTGGTAGGCTTGGAAATCTTGTTTGAGAAGAGAAGAAGAAATGACGTCATTCCATGGCAGTTTCAAAATTTACTAATAACGCTTTAAGTATATATTATGTTAATTTCTGGAATGTTAAAGAATAAAGCTTGTTATTTTACATCAAGATAAAGGAAGATCACAACTATCTGTGGTATTCAAAAACTAGCCAGTGAAAATTAGGACCAACGAATTATATCTGTAATCTCTAACTAGCTCTAAAGCTCTGGGGTTTTCCCTCCTCTTACTGAACCTACATAAACAGAGAAATATTAAATCTACCTTTTCTTTGGTGTACTGCTAGTTGGTCCATGGGTGGAAGCCTTTTTTCCTCTCTCTGATCTCTGGAAAATGCACAATTCATACTAAATTCAAGATTCTACTTATAATGTGCATATGGAATGCTAATGTTTATCAAGATTAAAGGACCATTTATCTTATCCCGTTCCAGGACTATAGTCCTGTACGGAGCCCATACATTTGCCTGTACGATTACAACTTGGGAGAATTATCTACGCCCCTTCCACTTAAGAAACCTACCTCAATGCATTCTAGAACTCAAAATGTAACTTCTAATATATTGGAACCGCCGATTGTCTGGGTTAGTTGGCAGAACGAGGTCTTTTTGTTTCTTATGGCTCTTTTGGTCGAAGTTCGATTAAGATGGCGGTTATAACGGAATTTCCCGAACTCTTCCGTAATAGCACGAACTTGGTTTTTCGTTACTTCACTTCCATGTAAAATGGATTTGTTTCCGGTAAGAAACATTGTTTAACCATTCGGTATACAGTTAAGAGCATAGGATGTCGACATGGCAGTAAATATTGAAAATATTGTCCGAAATTTTCGAAATTCCCTCTTACCCGAAACAAATCCATTTTACACGGAAGTGACGTAACGAAAAACCAAGTTCGTGCTATTACGGAAGAGTTCGGGAAATTCCGTTATAACCGCCATCTTAATCGAACTTCGACCAAAAGAGCCATAAGAAACAAAAAGACCTCGTTCTGCCAACTAACCCAGACAATCGGCGGTTCCAATATATTAGAAGTTACATTTTGAGTTCTAGAATGCATTGAGGTAGGTTTCTTAAGTGGAAGGGGCGTAGATAATTCTCCCAAGTTGTAATCGTACAGGCAAATGTATTGGCTCCGTACAGGACTATAGTCCGGGAACAGGATAACATTTATCCAGATAAATCTTGGTGAATTTGCACTTTCCTGGGATTCCCAAGATTTAAATAAAATTGAAAATCAGACTTGATTCAAAAATATAAATTATACCAACACTATATCATTTCATACAAACCATACAAAAGCACTTTATTCAGATTACATTTCGGGGCAAATAAATTCATATTCCCTGTGCTAAGACTGTGGGAAAGCATCACAAAAGGATATTGAGTTGAAATATAATCAGAGATCATTCAGTTGATGCAGAATCTGGTCACTGTAACATCAATAAGAGGTAATCACAATTATGGAAAATACAAATGTTAAAACTAAAAAGAAAGAATTCACTTCTCTTTGCTTATTTAGTACTTACATTTCTTTTTCTAATTTCATCTATTTTACTCTGATCCTCCTTTGAAATACTGTTTTCTTTAGCCTTGATCAACTTCATCAGCTTGGGTTTTATATCACTGGAAAGTGTATACACATAGTACATGTGGATATAGTGACTTTGCAATTGATTGCTTTCATAAAATCTTAGATTGGACAGATTATTTCTTTTACTGGGCATATTATTCAATTATCTAGGTATCAAACTCAAAATACTTATTTAAAACTGATCCCCTAAATCTGATGAATATTAAATTTAGAGGAATTTTTACTGCATCAGACTTCCATGGTGTTCCAAGAATCCTAACCAAATTGGCCACCCAGTGGTGAAACCAGTAACTACCCACTAGTACACATTGGAAATTGCCTTCAAGGCTTGTTGTTATATTGATAATATACTTGATTGTCATTTCAAGCAACATCAACAATTGTCAATGCATGATGTGTTACAATGTTCATGAAATATAAATGTTTATATCAATATCTAGCATGAAATCATCTATAAATGCAGATTTAGCAAATTGAGTGATTCACTGTGTATCAATAGCATATTGTTGTTATTTTGACATTTTTCGATATTGCCACATGTGTCTGACAATATTCTAAAGCTATGCTATAAATACTGTATGTCTTAATACATGTAATAGTCAATTAAGAATGACAGAAATCAGCAACTGTATGCAGTAGCTAATCCCAACCAACACTATATTGATGGATATGTGCATTCAATATGTTCAATTTTCCAAGGCACGTGGGGGTCAGATAGATGTTATGTCTACCAAAATTTCAAACAATAATATTTATTACTTTGGTTTAAAATGAAAAACTTAGGATTCATGAAAGAACTCCCACCATTTTTAAAGCGGCAGCCATCTTAAAACTTCTTTTGTTGGGATAATTAATTGATAAATTTAATTTACCCTTTTTCGCTTTCTGTGAAACTCAAATCAGCAATGCTGTTGTTATTGTTGTTGTTGAAACGTTGTAATCTTTGCTCTTCGCTTACAACTTTTGTAGCTGCCTGAAAAACAAAGAATACACCTTCAATGTCCCCAGGCCACTCTAACAAAGCAAGTATATACCTATTGTTGTATCATAACAAACACTTTTCTTGATTAAAATTTCTAATGAGCTATCTAATTTCCAAACTTTTTAAAGGGCTATCTGAAAGTGGCCTTTTAAGACAATTTGAAAACTTAGTCTTAATTTTATACATGTTGTCTAAAGTACCCAAAGGTTTTAGAATCTATATCACCCTGCAATGTATATTATCAACAGACTTGATAGAAAGCTTCCTAAAAATCAAAGGCTTTAAAAAAATACTCAGCTAGTAAGTATCATGGCATATGCTCTGCTGAACGATTTACATGTTAACAATGTGAGCATTTTTCAAGCTTTAATATTCAAATTGAAAGATATTCCTATTTCCAATATTTTCCCGACATTTTCCAAGTGAATAACTTAAGATTTGCTTCCTAAATATTTGTTAAGTGCGAAATGACCCACCTTGACCAAAAATGGTGTTGGAAATGTCTTACACAGTGGTTCAAGAAATGACGTCATCTCAGTGAGAAAGTTACCAAAATTATGTTCCTGTAATTCTGGATTATTTTCATCCTCCTTTGAGATGAAATTGTTGAGTTTCTTTTTCAGTGCCTGAAAACAAATATTCCACTGATCAATATTTAAATTCCATCGATTAAGAACAAATATGATTAAAAATACAAAAACTTGGTATAGTGAATATAAGTAATGTTTAATGTTTACTTTATCTTCTTGGGCTTTAGGTTTGGTGAATCTTTCCTGCCTTGCCATGATCTTCTCAGCTTCTGCATAATCAGCATCTCTGAGCACTATATACACAGCCTGGAGAACACAATAGTACTATATACACAGCCTGGAGAACACAATAGCACTATAAACACAGCCTGAAGAATAGAATAGCAATATATACACAGCCTGAAGAACACAATAGCACTACATACACAGCATGGAGAATGCAACAGCACTATAAACACAGCCTGGAGAATAGAACAGTACTATATACACAGCCTGAAGAACACAATAGCACTATATACACAGCCTGAAGAACACAATAGCACTATATACACAGCCTGAAGAACACAATAGCACTATATACACAGCCTGGAGAACACAATAGCACTACATACACATCATGGAGAACAGAATAGCACGATATACACAGCCTGGAGAACACAATAGCACTACATACACAGCATGGAGAATGCAACAGCACTCTATACACAGCCTGAAGAACACAATAGCACTACAATCACATCATGGAGAACAGAATAGCACGATATACACAGCCTGGAGAACACAATAGCACTACATACACATCATGGAGAACACAATAGCACTACATACACATCATGGAGAACACAATAGCACTACATACACATCATGGAGAACACAATAGCACTATATACACAGCCTGGAGAACACAATAGCACTATAAACACAGCCTGGAGAATAGAATAGCACTATATACACAGCCTAGAACACAATAGCACTACATACACATCATGGAGAACACAATAGCACTATATACACAGCCTGAAGAACACAATAGCACTATATACACAGCCTGGAGAACACAATAGCACTATATACACAGCCTGAAGAATAGAATAGCACTATATACACAGCCAAGAACACAATAGCACTATATACACATCATGGAGAACACAATAGCACTATATACACAGCCTGAAGAATGCAATAGCACTATATACACAGCCTGAACAATGCAACAGCACTCTATACACAGCCTGAAGAACACCAGGCCAATGACCTGACATTCTTACTAATCGTCATGAGGAACTTGAACAAATGTGCCATAAATTCGAAAGTATTTCAAAAACTCAATTTACCACAAAGTCATTTATAACTGGGAAAAAGATACCATATTTGTATTGTCTATACTGGGATGTGCCAAATATTGACAGTAGTACATTCAAAAGACTGTAAATTGAAGGTGAAGATAAAGCTCACTTATAAGAAGCGAAGTCAAACAACTGAAAAAAGTAGAAAAAATGTCTATTACAAGTAAACAGCAGGTAATCACACCAAACAAAACATATTTCATAATTATGTGGAATAGTGTACTCCTATTTACAAGCAACCATGGTAAAAACTTCTAATTGTAAACTTTTTAAAAAGTGATGTACCTGTCTTAGCATGTTGCGTTTTGCATGTTCAATATCTTTCTGGGTGAATATGCCTTTAGGGGTCAGTTGTAGAACTCCATCAAGCAAATCTACGGATTGCTCTAATGTAGTGCCAACCTGCTCTTCATCTTCACTGTCATTATAGCTGCAATATAAACAGAATTTAGGATTTAGGCTGATATAAAGGTAACACTGGCATATAAATAGCATTGGATGTAGGTGTAATCAATGCACTGCAGGAATATGATTCTGAATACTGCCAATAGGTGGCGCACCTATTCGTTCAATAAAGATGGCACTAACATAATTCACATGTTCTCTGAAGATATATAAATTAAATAGGTGGACTGCAGTGCATTGTCATCTCTTTTTGAACATTATACTTGCTCTTGCTAATTTAACTTCTGAAAACCTTACCGAGTTTGATAACTTTCTGCATCAACGAGACGAGTCAGAAACAAAATAAGTTTCACCTTTAACCAATTCTGGTTTGCTTCCTCCTCACCTTGACCTTCAATGGTATGGCTTGCCAATGCCAGCAAACCTTCAAGAAAAATAACATTACAGTAATTTTAGGTATAAATGATAGAGAAAAAATGTGCACCAGATTGGATCAACAAGAAAACAGACTCGCAAATGTTTAGCGTGTAAAATATGAATGCATTTTTCATATGATACTGCACTGTGGTCTTCCAATTGTTTATTTTTTATTATATTGACACACAACCCAATTGAAGTGGACTACATTCAATATGATTCATAATATCTTGATGAGCTGGATACTAGTGTTGTCACGATTAATCGATACATCGCGATCCCGGGATCGCGATATACATCGCCAAAGCTGGTTCTGGCGATGCATCTATGTCTGAAACAAAACATCGATGTTTTTAAAAAATTTTAATTTGCTAAAAATCGCCCTTTCTTATCTTATTTTGACGCAAATTGCTTACCTTTTTTCATGTCTTATTTCATTTTCAAATGTTTTCTGATATTCTTTCGCTTTAAAACTGTTTTAGCTTGTCGAAATGAACCATTAATCTAAAAATAGGACCCACGGTCCTGTGCTCACACAGTTTGGAACCTTCAGAGGAATGTATATCCTGACTTTAAAACAAAAATATTGATTTGGATTTGTTGTCTCGAACTTTGAGAAATAAACTTTGATAGCACAGTTGTGTGACCTAGTTTGATGACCTTTGACCTTGAAAATTTTACTTATTCAGAGCTCAGTAAGGTCTTTTGTGATTAAGCTGACCAAAATTTGAAACCAAAAATCAATTTGAAAAATCAACTTTTTTGACCTTTCGAAGGTCACTGAAGGTCAAGTAAAGGTCAAATCCTAAAACTAATGTCAGATTTGAGCTCCTGGGAACTTGTAGATGATTTTCAAAAAAAAAATTGGTCAAATTGAAGCAAGTTGAAAAAAAACTTATTTTTACTGTTTTTTACGTCAAATATCTCAAAAACTGTAAAAATTTGATGCTGACATATATTGAGCAATATGTAGGGAATGCTTAAATCTAGTAATGATGTAATTCATTGCAAGAAATGATCAAGTATAAGGCAAACTTTGAGAATCTTGTCAATCACAAAACCTGCCATTGACTTTATACATGAGAAAGTTTCCTGAAAATGACGAAGTCCTACTTTTTGTCAAATTTTATAGAGTAAACACCAAAAACTGTAATTCCAAGAGCTTTGAAATTTTCAGAGGACATAAGTTGCATATACAGCAACTACTAAAAGTTATTTGAAAGTTCTACTTCAACAAAGTGTCTAGTATATACAGAGAAAATTTGACTTTTTGACGTCAAAATCGGCAATTTTTCGAAAACCGGGCAAACTTGGGAAATGGCGATGATAGTTCAAATAGGCATTATGGATATGCATAAAATGAATGTGGATATGACTCAATCCGAATAGCAGTTTTAATTTGTGCGGCCAATGTTGACGGACGGACGGACCAACGGATGGACGGACGGATGGACCAATGGACGGACGCCTGGTCGATCCCATAGGCTCACTGTGTGAGCCAAAAAATTACTTTACTTTTATTTCACCGTTACTATGTTCCGGGATGTACCAGCGTACTCTTATTAATTTGTTCTGTTCGATATTTTAGTGCATTAGCGTTCAGTATTTCAGTGCACTTTTCTCTAACTTTTTCTCGATGTGCATCGATGTTTACTACTGAAAATTGCGGATGCATCGATGTACGATTATGGCACATCGCGACAACACTACTGGATACATGAGTATCCTCCTTAATGGCCGACAGCAATATTATTATATTTGGTGATATAAATGCATGCATGGATGGTTTAAGTAGAGATCGTGGTCAGACCAGTGCCTCACGTAATGAATTTAAATTTTAGGATTTTATGCAGAGGAAGTGCTATATCGACATGTATAATAATTTGTGGAAAGGGGCTAATTACACTTTTAACATGGATTACTTTAGGACCTCTTACATTGATCATTGTGTAATATCAAGTGCTTTTTACAGATGTGTTAATGGAGGGATTACAAATGAAGATCAACTTTAGTTGTTAATGTTAACTTACCAAAGATAAATGTTTTTAACTCTGATGCTGGTAATGACTTCACGATATATGGAATAATTAAAAGTTTCGAAAGAAATGTTGACTCCAGTCAGTGTTTTTCATAGTCTAGGCTTTAGATCTTTTGCAGTGATCTCCCCATGATTAATTTTTCTCAGGTGGGTGCAAAATTCTCATTTTCACAATTCAGACCAAAATTGGTTAAAATATGCTAATTTCTCATGATTTTTCTCATTTTCAAGTGGGTGCTAATGGATTTTCAGGTGGGTGCAAGCCCATGTTCAAAATCTCATGTGGGTGCTGCACCAACTTGCTGCTGGGGAGATCACTGCTCTGTAATGACCCTTGGGCACATCCGTCGGGGAGCTGTAGTGCACCGCCGAGCAGTGTATGCCCTAAGGATTCCAGAGCTGCTGGTCAAAAAGGCATTACTGACCAGTTGCAATGTTATTTTCCTATACCTAGTGAAAAAATCAACTGGTCAGTATCAAAAGTAACCAGATAATGACCAGCTGTCCGACGCTTAAGGCGTGCCCTGCCGCCGAGCACGATACTAGACTCGAAAAAGAGTGAGCTAAATTCAATACCCCGTACAGGAATCGAACCCAGGACCTTCCGCTCTTGAGTCAGACGCTCTACCCCTGAGCCATAAAGGCTAGCCACTACAGTAAAATTTTAAATGTTTGGAACTACTTTGAATTTAAAAAATAAGCAATCAAAGGACCATATTGAAACAGTATGTGTAAAATTTTAAAATAGAAACATTTATACATGTCCCAACTTTTGTATATTTTAGTTTGTTTTGTAGTTTAGCTATCTTATCCGTGGCCTCTCATATTTCGAAAAATTAACATAGCTGAAACTCCCTAAATTTCAAAAGGCCACAGCTTAACTGCACATTATATATTACTATCTGAAATATACAAAAGTTAGGACAAGTACATAATACTGTTGCAATATAGTCATTTGATTGCTTATTTTTTAAATTCAAAGTGGTTCCAAACATTTAAAAAATTTTTGTATAGCTGAGACTGTAGTAGCGACTTGCTATACAGTGGGGAACAAAGAATTACTATAGCTATGAAAAATACATGCTGTCGCACATGTAATAAATTCTTACCTCAGTGTATTCAGTCCCCTATTTTCTCTGTCCTTGTAAGTCCAAATATAGTGGAATTTGTGTCTATTATGACAACTAGGAACTTAAAAATTTGAAGTGGATATTCACATGTAAATGCAGACTCTTCAAATGTTGAGGTGATTTTGGAACCTGATTACACCGCAAGGAGGATTGGCTCCCAGAATGCAACATAACACCTGCCAGCTTTCAAAATGCAGTTCCGCCATTTTGAAACCTGTCACGAGTAAATAAGATTAACTGATGTTGTATTCTGGAAGTCAATCCTCCTTGGATCACAAACATGGCAATTCATGAAAACATTCATTCGATTGGGTAGGAATTTATCTATCATTTGCAGGTATGAAGCTTTGGATTCATTTATTGTGCTACTTAAAGTGAACGGGAGTTATTTTTCTACCGCGTGGGAAAAGATTGAGACATGAAACTTAGAATTTAGCTCATTGTGACAACTTTTGATGGTTGAGGTTTATTATGTCTACGACTTTAGGTCTATTGGCATTGCAGCCCTGTCAACCCTCACGCATTAGGCGTGACTGTCACGCATTTTCTGGAAAAATTGAAATTACGCATCAATTTAGCGTGTATGATCAAATATCACGCAAATAACGTATTTTCTTGATATTTTTAAAACTCGTTTTTATAAAAATGCCGATACTGTAAAATACCAAATGGCGAAAAAAGCGAACGCATTTCGCTCGGCTTTTGCACGCGATTGCCGTATATGTCACGCATTAGGTCCATAGTATGTGTATATATCAAGCATTAGTTTTGAAAATATTTGCACTACCCCCCCTCCCCCGCGTTGAAGGACTTGTGAAATGCCAGCGTTAGCGAGCGGGAAAAATGTTAGGAGTCCAAAATTGACTTGTGTTCAGTAAGGTGTCCAAAAATTTGAAGGAAGGTGTCCAACATTTGGAAGTCACTCATGTTGGATGGTCCCAAGTTGACAGCCAGCCCTGCTATTGACCCCCAGACAATCCAAGTGATATGGAGTAATAATCGGTAAATAACGTACCTGCTAGAAAGTCTCTGTTAGTTTCAAGATCTATAGTTTTATTTTGAACGAACTCGTTCCAATAACGCCACATAAAGTGCTCCAAGTTCCATTTAAATATTTTGTTTTCAATTTCACCCGCCATTTTTGTTTTGGAAATAGGTCACGAGATTTGGGGAGATTTCTTTCAAATTCAAAAGTATAGTCATTGTGCTACAACTTTGTCCATTATTCAGTAAGTATGTACCATTTAAAAGCGAATGTATATCAAAATACATTCCAAAACGGTCTGTAAATAATGAAACTTAAATCTATATTGTTTGATCACATGACAGTCATGTGATCGCCAATCGAGATTTTGTTATCTGAAAACTTTTGACTTTTGTGTATTTAGCCATTGAAAACCTTTCTATCCAAATATTGGTAAGTAAAAATATTCTTAAAACAGTCGAATACCATATCTTATATCTAAGTTTACTTTTAAAGTTGCTGTCATTTTGGAAATACACATGTGCATTGAAGTTTACAATCGAATTGATTGATGTGATTCACAGGTGGGTGATAATAGACCTGTCCAAGGTGAAGGGAGGAAATCCAAAAATTAGAGATGCCCTCAACTTCAATGGATCTTTTACAAAATGGAGATGAAACTCATTTTCAATGTTCTATAACTGACATATCCGAACATTGAATTATGCCATGGTGTTTCTCTACCTCTAATGTAACCTTACACCTGAGACTAACATAAAAGGGATTGGAAACTCTATGCGAGACTTGTGCCACCCGCGCCACGTTGCCATGGTGGCGCCACTTGTATTTCAAAGCGCTCTTCAAAAAGAAGATTGACCCTTCAAATAAAGACAACTCGGGATTGATCCACAGCAAACTGGTCAAGGAAAATACTCAAAAACCTTATTTTCGTGTTTATTATCATCGTTTTTGCCCCCTAGTTCGAGAAAATAATAACAAAATTATTTTGACTTCATCATTGTTCCGTGGCAATGTGTAATGAGAATCATCCATTTTTGGTTGAATCCCCAAGAGCTTTTTATATAGGCCTACGTTCACAACAATCATGTTATTGTTATAAATCATTAAACTTACGATAATGTTTAAGCTAAAAAACATAATCACGTACATTATCGAGCGGAATTTTCGTTTGCCGTCAGGTTCGTTTTTACAATAGAGTTATCCATTATTCGCATTTTCGTCTAGTGCGTCATGCCGTTTTTTACCGGGAATGGATGAATTGTACAGGTTGACAACAGGCGAAGTGATTCCCATAGCTGACCATATAAGAGTTTACTCTCTATCTCATCAACGAGCAGCGGGGTCGTATATAGCTAGCCTTTGCTAAGGGGGGAGGGGGTTCACTTTCTAAATATTCCAGTAGGGGTTCCCTATTGACAACTTTGGCCTATTAACTTGAAAAATGCTCAAAGTGGTGAAAAAGTGCATGAATTTGAAAGAATTTTTGGCTGGGGGAGATGAGTTCGACCCATTTCCCTTGCCTGGGCAGTGTCCACATTTAGTATCAACCCCCCTCAGGGGCGGAACTGGGAACCAACAAGGGGGGTCCCAAATTTCAGGTAAAAGAAAAAAATTTCGCGCTTGTGCGTAAAAAAAGTGGGCCCAAATTTTAGGCCCATTTTATTCAAAATTTGGACTGAAATTAAAAAATAAGGCCTTTTTGGGGCCTTGAGCCCTTTTTTGCCCAAAATTTTTTTTGGGCCCAGTTTTTTTTCTGGGCCCACCCAAGGGGGGGGTCCATATCCGCCAGTGCCCCTGGCCAAGTTTTTATCAAATTCATGCAGTTTTTCAACATTCTGAGCACTTTTTAAGTTATTCTGGGCATTATTGGGCCAAAATTCTCAAAAGTGAAGCCCCCTGGATTTAATTATTCAAAAAATGAACCCCCTGGCAAATCCTGGCTACGGGGCTGCTTTGGGATAAATAATTTTGGAGATAACCACCGCTTAAATCTGTCTGATATTTGGGCGCCAAAAAACAAAATTGGGCCCAATTTTTTTAATTTAATGCCAATCTTTTGATAATTTGGTCTTTTAATCTAAAAAAGGAGGCCAAGTAATGCTAAAAAAGGCTCACTGGAGAGCACTCACACAAGACATGTACTTATCAGGGAAATCATCAATCATTTATTTCATTTTAAGACTACAATTGTCATCAAATACAACTGATACTACACTTAGATCACACTGTGAGGTGCAAGGTTGGTGTCTAATCTTGTACCTTCTGGAGGTGGCTTAATTAAAGTCCCTATAGAATGTAAAAAGCACATTTGCTTAGGCTGTCTTTATCAGTTTATACTCAATATATAAGATACTATATTTTTGACAAGATCTGTCACATTCTTAAATAATGTTGTTTTGAAGTCCTTAGTCTGAGACTAATATACTCTAAATGTTTTATGTTAGTCTCAGTCCTTAGTATAAGATTCTTGGCTACATGTTTTTAACTCTTTCGCCCGGTTAATTCCGTATTTTCCATGTAGCTTAAACCGGTTATTTTTTTGCCGAAAATCGACGTTTTAGCAGTTATAAGTTTAAATTTCCAATATCTCTAAAAGTACTAGACAGAATTACTTCAAATTTTCAGTGTTTATAGTAAATATATTCATTTTCCATTTCTCAAACTTTTGCAGCTTAAGTTTGACATTTAGAATACCAAAGGTGGTGTAAAAGTTAGCCAACTAATAAGTTAGCCAACTTATTCTATATCTACATTTTCAATACACTTAATATCAACATTTTCAATACACTGTACTTCATAAAAATGGATACTAAAAGTCATACAAATATCAGAGACAAGTAGCAGTACATACAAAGTACATTCAGTACAGTTTAGTATATCCAACTATATGATATTATCAGATTATAACTGTTTGTATCAGAATAAAATCATCACATTCCGTATATAATTTGTCCTGCAGCAGCACGAAAGTTTCTATGTGTATGATAGATTTCAAAACATGGGGCTGGATGCATAGGCATATCACACTGCCTGCAGAAGTAGGTGCATTGCTTCCTACCCCAAGCAGGATCAGTCCTGTCACTGCACACAGTGCAGTCAGGCTTATACCTTGGGTTATCATACTTAGCGATGAAGTGTCTTCCAGTAAGACGTAATGGTTCAGGTTGTGTTGCTTTTCTCCCTTTTGTAGAAGCTGCTTTCATTTGACAATCTGCTAGTAATCCATCTATTATTTTATATCTAAAATCCTTTGATAACATCACATTACCATCTACTTGGTGATCTGCTTTATATAATACATAGGCATTGACACACGCAGTTTGCTGTATTCTGAAGTAGATAGGCATGTACCATTTCAAACTTTTATGTGAATACTTGTATGTTGTACACATTTGGTCGTACATGTCAGTACCATTCATATTTGTGTTGTATTTCTCAATTAAAACAGGTTTCTCTATTGGGTTCTGTCTACCCCTTATTTGTTTTTCAATAGTATTGTCATCATCCACACTTGACAAGGCAGTGACTCGCTTGGTGTCGTGCCAAGCAACAGCAACGAGATCATTGGTATAGTCATGGGCAAACACTGGATTATCCCCTTTATTGAGATGAAGATTTGCTGGCTTTAAAATGTTTGGCATATTTTTTCTATTCGGTCTGACGGTTCCACATAATCCGATTTGAAGTTGTTTTAACTGTCGAGCTAAGTTGGGCGATGTATAAAAATTGTCAATATACAGAACATGTCCCTTATCATGATACCTTCTGTTGTTGAGCAAAGATAACACTACATTTTCAGTGACTAAGTTATCAGGGTTATCAATAATGTCAACAGTAGTTTTTCCAGTGTATATTGCCTGTTCCAATAAATAACCAGTACTGCTATCATTCAGACAAAATTCTTTGATGCCCCATTTTGTGGGTTTACTGGGGATGTACTGTCTAAAGAAGACTCGGCCTCTGAAGCCAATCATTGACTCATCAATTGCCAAATTTTTGCCTGGTTGATATGAGTTCCTGTATATTGGATTAACTATATCTAGTAGGGGTCTTATCTTATGAAGTGGGTCATATCCTGGATTTCCACGGTGAATATATGTATTGATATCATTGAAGTGAAGGAATTTAGTGATAAGTTCATATCGCTCAAAGCTCATCACTTTTGTGAAGTGTGGTGTACAACAAATCCAAGAGGTAGTTGACCAATAATCCCTAAGGCTTGGCTTAGATACAATGCCCATGGCCAATTGTATCGCTGTATATGCTCTTAGCTCATCTACTGTCACCTCGTACCATTGTCTCAGCCGAGATCTTGGGCTGAAGTTATCAAGTCCACCAGGCACATCAAAGTGGCTGAACGCATAATTATTGGTCTCATCTGTTATCTTTGTCAATAGTTCATCAGGATAAAATATCTTGAAATAGTCATAAGGTGTGAAATTGTCTGTATTGACGAGAACACCACCACGGCGTGGAATATTGAATTCCTGTATCCAATTGACTTCATACGGATCAGTGGAGTCATACAAATGCCAATCATACTGGCCATTGTCTGGTGGAATTGCATGACGACGTGGTCTGTCAGGTACAACTTGATCACCACCAACTGAAAGTCAAAGCGCATATTCATAAAAATTTTGGTGACTAGGCCTACATTTCTGACATTTTTATATGTATATATTAGGCTAGAACACATTATTCATTAGGGAAATGTACTATCTGATGATTTGGTGTAAGCCCATTTTACATTTACTTACCTTGAATAGCTTGATCTCTGTCATTTTGTAAATTTTCATTTTGATCAAAATCATTATCATCGATATCTGAGCCACTTTCAGAACCAGAATCAGCAAAGATAGCCTCTACATTATCTTCATTTATTCTTATTCCTCTGGCAGCCATTTTTAAAAAACAAGCTAGACAATCTATCGTGAAAATAAGTAAATAGTGGCAAAATTGTTCGAATTTTACTGGAATTTTTCATAATTTTACCGGATACGGAAGTTATGTTGACAGTTTAGTTCAGTGTAGAAATGGTAGTCACATTTTTAACCGGGAACTGTACTGGTATGCCATCTATTTAAATGAAAGAAAATGATTTCCATAAATGTCGACCTACGGTCGCCTAACCACGTGTACCGATAAGTCGACTATAGTCA